TCTCTGTCTCTGCTTTATATTTTGAATTGGGAATTGGTTGACCTTCACCCCCACACATAAGATGAGCTTTCATCACATCACATAGCCTGCTCAGCTGATAACCTCCTGACTAGCCTCATTCTGTGAGCACAGTCACACAGTGGCCACTAGATGGTGCCAAATGCAATAAATACACCTCCTCACATGACATCAGAGAGTATCTACAAGTAGATTTTAAGATATTCTCTAATATAATTGTTTACAGCGTTAAACTTTGATACACATTGTTCTCATTTTAGATTGTTGTTAACTTAAAGTATTTGCATATATTATTATATGATATTTGAATTTCCCTCTGGATAAATAAAGAATCTATCTATGATTTGCTTTAATGATCTTCAAATATATCACAATGCATGCAGTTATCCTCTTCAAGATGTAATATGCAAAGCAGTATATTTTGAAATGATTTGCCCAAAATCCTAATTTCACAACTTGGAAGGCAACATTACTGGCATGTATTAAATGCTTTAAGTAGAGTTTTCTTTATTTCTTTAGGTTTGTGCCTTTTCATGTCTTGTGGAGAGCATTCAATTTTCCTAAAAATGTATACCTTACAATCTTTGAAAAGCCCAGAAGGTCATTTAACAATTGCTGCTGTTCTGAAGGTATTCCCAGAATCCTCAAAGACTCTCTGACACATTTTTAACCTGTTTTTCAATTTTCAAATGTATTTCCTAATCCAGGTAGCATGGAATGACAGACTGAATGATGAGAAATGACTGGTATGTTTGTCCTTCAACAGGGCTGAAGGTGAATCGACTGGACATGTACGGTGAGAAGTATAAACCTTTCAAAGGCATCAAGTACATGACGAAGGCTGGCAAGTTCCAGGTGCGGACATAAAGACTACTGCTCTGTGACTACCGGACCAAACCACCATGAGACTGAGGGGTGATCTGCTGGAGAAAGGGGAGTTGGTACATTCCCTGTGTATATGCATTTCAGGATTTACCTACAAATATTGGAGGCTGCTTGTAACAGTTAAGAATGGACCGTTGCACATAGAAACCTCTGTTGAAGTAAACGCATCCAATGTCCAGTAGAGCTTTGACAGAGTGTGGAGAGTTTGAACCAAGTGTAATAAACAGTTCCATCTCTGTCCGAGCTGAACCCGACCCGAACCCAACTGATCTCAGTGTACATTTCTCCTGATATATACTGTTCACAGCATTTTTCACTGGTAATTTTAATCCTAATCCCAAACCAAACCCAAGCAGCTACATGAGACATTGTGTCAGTTTGGGTCAATTCAGGCTCCATCAAGTTCAGACGTAAATGTCAAGCTCTAACAAACAAACAGGCCAAAATCTGATGCTGTATAGTTTCAGCTGTAGGTATCGGGTGTGAAAGTGATCTGTCCTTTCCACACAGTATTTCATTGTCTCTGGCATGTTTGTCTGGATAGATGTGTGCTGGTGACTGTTTTTCACTCTCCAAACAAGAGATATGAAATACTGGACCAATAATATACCAAAATAGAGCTTCCCCGGTATTAAATTGTGATAGCATGAGCTGTACAAAATGTTTTCCCATGTCAAGGGGCCTCTGCAGGATAAAACACTAGTCTTACAGCACAGTGAGACACTAAACTGAGTCAAGAAACTAGTGTCGATTGAATTGGGCAGATATGCTGTAACGGCCTATACGCTTTTCTCCACAAAACGCACCCTTAAATGTTATAGAACATGGTCCTACTGTACGTTACTTTTCTCTGATCAACAAGTCCTCATTGCAATCTACCTACGAAAATGGATAACACTGTATTTCTTATCTTCCTGCTTCCTCTCCTGTCCAGTTTTTATGATGACTTTTTCCAGCATTCTGTTTGCATTTCTGTTTGTACCGTTCATGTGCTCCTCTTCCCGTCGTTGCAATGATTTGATGGTTTTGTCTGCAGCGCTAGAGTCAGCACACTGACATATGAGAATGTGACACTGGAGCCGTCCTCAATCATGCACTTTCACATCTGCTGGTACTAACATTTCCTTTTGATGCTATTTATTACAAAGAAGGTTTCTGAGAAAATTTCAGGTACATCTTTACCTGTTAATTATTTATTAAACAAAACAAAGGGTCCATTCACTAAAGTAGTGTCCTGTGTACAATGTTTCCCATTGCGACATACTGTCATTAAATTGTTTAAAACTCTACAGAAGCTAGTTATTTAACCATATTATGACCAAACACTATGGACTGTTTCCTCGTTAGTTTTTGTTCTCAACATATAGAAACACGTAGCCAAGAAAAATGTTTTTGATCCCGTCAATTTGGTGCTAAATACTGAGATCAAAATGATCCAAAAACGCAGTGCATCATAACCCTTACAGTCAGAGAAAGTGTACAATGCGCAGCTTAAGATTTATTGAAAAAACTCAAAATAAAAACAATATATTCAGCTATGTATTACGGTCTAATGGCCAGGTGCCTCAGTTTGCATTTTGTTTGTGTTTGTTAATCATCCTCCAATGGAGTGTTACAATGGTGTAAAAATAAAGACTTGATGTGTTACAACTGAGTGATAACACTAATTATTGATGTTTTACACTGGGAAGCTTAGTATTGTGTAAGCACTCTTAAGGTCCTTTGGGAATTATTACTATTATTAATTTCTGTTGTCAATGTTTAAACAGATTGTGAAGATACACTTACTGATGAATATTCATAATAGCATTTTAATGTTTATTTTGGCCGTGTTTTTAAGGCATAGACTGAATTATTCATGCTGTGAGCCTATGTAATTTATTAGTACTTTATGTAAATGGCCGTGGAGTCACCCTAATGAACGTTTTCATGCCAAAGAACCACAAATAGATGCACAGTGGGCTACAAACCGCAGTTACATAACATTTTAAAAATTATTTCAATATAACAACATAAAGGGCTGGGCGATATGGCTTAAAAAATAAAATCTCCGATTTTTTTACACCAAACCCGATTTCCGATTTGAATCGATTTTTTTGTAGACTGTTTTTTAGCGGGTGTTTGTGGGCTGCGGTCCTGTACATCTCCCACTCGGCTGCACGCCTCTGCTCGAGGTGCTGGAATAAACCGGTCGTACTGCTTCCTTTGGTTGTAACAGCTTTCACACACACTTTGCAGTGGGTCGTGGTTCGTTCGCTGTCGGACGCCACAAAACCAAACCAGTTCCAAACAACCGACGACACTGTGCCTTTTTTGGGGGACGAGCTCATCCTGGCTTGCTGCCCTGTTGTGTTTATCTGTGGAGAGGCGGGGGGAGGGGTCAGCGCACTCTGACCTACGGGAGCTCAAAGGGAGCGCCGGTGTTGTGGATGTTCAAGAGATTTTGTCCTCCGATTTTAACTAAAAATAAATCGTGTTTAACTACAAATTCGAATTAATCGATAAAATCGATTTATCGCCCAGCCCTAACAACATTAAAAAACTGTCTGTATCGTGTTGTGCTAATTATTGAAAATTGCCATTTTTCTGTTTTGTTCTGAGTATTTGAACTTTGTACACAGTAACAGCTACAGCTGATAGTAAAGCTGCTTATATGCAGTAATCTGGGGACAAAGTGGAACAATGGCTGATGACTCTGTGACGCCATCATATTTGGATTGTCAGCTTTTCGCAGATCCTCACTCTGCATCATAAGAATAAAAATATGTGTTTAAGCAGAGGTATAATGGAGTCATACCCAGCCTATTGTTAGCAATACTAATGGTTGAAATAGTCTTTCTTTGTTTAATCTCTTGTTCTTCACTGCATAATAATGTCTTGATCTGAACCACCACCACAGTCCTGCAGTAGAGGGCGGTGTGGATCATAAGGCTTAACCCTCACTTGTGATAAAAGGCAGATACCTGAACTCTGTCAGCTGGGGGCCCTGCTCCCCTTCATCTGAACAGAGCGAGACTAATATTGAGGTTGGATTGCGGTGCCAGCTTGGTTCCATCTTGCTGGCTCTTTGGTAAACTTCTGGAAACAAAGTGCTCCCACCTCATAGGCTGATAAATAACGCTAGCCTCGCATTCGATCATAAACCTAAAGCTTTATTCTGTGTATGCCTCACCACTTCAGTAATGTTCAGTTCACTTCAGTTGTTGTTGATTTATTATCCCAAATGGGAAACTTGATTCGCAGTCAGGGGCACAAACAGGGAAAACAAAAAAATACCAAAAAAACACAAAAATTGTTCCTTCACATATAATATACAGTAAACTCGATTTACTTATTAAGCTGGGATATTGCACAATGAATAAAGGTGTTTTTACTCCTGTTGCATGGCTCTTAATGGCTCTTCTCTCCGGTATGCATCCCTGTAAGTAATCCCAAACTTTAAGAACAACAAGTAATGTCATCCTCCCGCACCGGCTCGATGCAACACGTGTCCCACACAGATGTCAGCAGTGGGCTGAAACCTGTCCCTCAGATACTCAAAATGTCTCATACACTGGCGGTATCCACCATATTGTCAGAGAACAACACCATGAAAGGACTCAACAGTGTTATAGTAGTTACACATCACTTATGCACCAAAACATTGAGCTGCTAGCACCAATGCTACCAGCAGCTACAGTGAATGGCATCACCCCCTAGACTGATTAAAGATGGCTGCTCCGTGGTGGCACCCTAGTGAAACGCTGTGTAGTTTGGAAAACGTCTGTGAATAGAAAGTTGGATTACTGTGCCACATGTTGCCTAAGGTGGAACTCAGGACCCACAGTGGTACTGTTCACTGTTTCTCTCTGGCAGCATGAGGGCAGCTCAACGTCATCTTATGACCCCAAACATCACACTGGCACTGAGCATCACAAGGGCCACTTTTAACCCCTACAGCCCCGTTGTGTGACGTCACCCTCCCCCCGTGGTCCAGCTGGCTGGACTCCAGTCCATAATTTACTGAGGACTTTAACCCCTCCAAAAGACACAACCTTTCCTCTCTCTCTCTCTCTCTCTCTCTCTCTCTCTCGTCCACACAGCAGCTTTAAGTCACTTATGTCATCGCGCTATAACTTTCCTCTTTGTGCACAACTATTTTTTTAAGTGGAAAAGTTTTTGTGAGCGTTTTCTTCGCAAGCTCTCCAGTTTTATTACGCTGCCCGAGTACTTTTGTTAGATTGTTATCTCATTTCTTCCCATTTTTCAAACGCTTTTAGAGGCTGAAGTGAAGAGGAATACCGAGCCTTTTAAAGACCAATTCATCGCGGGTGGTAGGTTGTCTCCTTTCTTTGTGAATATTACAATGTTTTTCCTGTGCAGACTTGGATGGATTACTCAAGTTAAACCACTTTAATGCGTTCCCTTGTAGACCTGGGAACAACCTAATGCATTATTAAGCTATAGATAATATAACGATAGCAAACAGCTGGAAGTTGCGTGAAGATGCAGCAGGGATGCGACGTATGGATGGCTTCATTAATGCTTTTACTTCATTAATGCTTGTACGTACAGGATAATCACCCATTGCAGGTATTCTCCTCTGCAACGGGCTTCAGGACTGTCAAGTGGATGTAAATCAGAACGTGTGTATTCACCCACCCGGGGAAAGTGCTGTTTTTGCCACCTACAGCAATTATCCCAGTGTCCGCGCTCCCAGTGCTGTGTGTGTGTGTGTGTGTGTGTGTGTGTGGTGCTCTAGTTAATGGGCTTTATCTCACTGTGGATCTAAGGATGCCTGTTAGGTTTTATCTGATTGCTGTGATCGGTGTGGGCTGGCCGGGCTCCCTGCAGAGGATGCTCCCTGTCGGTAACCACGTGGACGCAGTAACAGTAACAACAGTAGCTCAATAGGAGCTCGTTCGCAGTCCGCGCGCGTCGTAGAGTAGCCGACGTCGCGCGACAAAAGTGCTGATTTAACCACGTGCGGAGTTGGCAGGGCGCGTGCTGTTGTTGCAGTTGTTATCTACGTAGCGCAGTCTGGGTTTATCAGGATATATTATAGATTATATTCATATATTATTATATATATTATATATATTTATATACAGCGAACCCCACACTACTTGAATTAAACTCCCTTAGCAACACTACAGTTGGCACTAGTTTCATCTTCAGTTCTTCTAACTATAAGCTACACCATGGCTCCACATGTGCTGAGGACTGTGTACGAACTAGTTCTGTAGCCTAAATCATACTTCCATGTTCAACATAATAGGCAGTGTTGTTCTGCTAGCTAAATGTTAGACTGTAGGACGTGCGTTAGCTAGTTAGCACAGCTCAACATGCTAATAGTTAACATGTTTAATTGTAGGCCGCTGCAAATGCCAACATGTTGGGTATAGATTTGGAAGGTGTAATTACTTTGTTACACCAACATGCTGTTAAACAACACTCTTTTATTTTTTTTTTGGTGTAATGCTGTCAGCCAAACAACCACGAACATCATAAAGTCATTCTATAGCATTAAAAGTCAGTTTGCGGTTTTCCCGCCTACCACAGAGATGACCATATAATATAATGCAGAAGCCCACTGGGTAATGTTATAGTAAATAAAAGTAGCCTATGTGTTTTATGGTAAATCTAACCTGTTTTTCTTACCATCCACTACATTGCTGTTAACATCTAAAAAAACATGTTCAGTGCAGGCTGTGAAACCAGTCAATAGTAAAGAAACATTGGGTTTTCTCAGCACAATTCACTTTATTGACGGTTGACTGGAGCGTGTGACCACGAGACAAAGAGGACTGTCCCTGGCTTCAACTTATCAACCCCCATCTTTCATTCAGGGACACATAAGCCCCCCGTCCATGTGGGGTCTGCCATTAAAACACACTATCTTCTCAAACTGCTCACGTAGGCCTGTGTGGCTATGAGCCAACTGCATGCTCTGCACTGGCAGCTGTGTTTGGAAACCAGACAGTGTGCAGACAGCAATCAGGGCTGTCGCACTGAACTCTAATATAGGGAAAAGCATCTAGTATAGTCAAATGCTACACAGCCAGATATACCAACTATTTAAGCGCATGTAGGGTTATGACGTGACATCTTGCAAGATAATATTTGGTCAATCTGAGAAATGTATACCTATACTATAAGACCCAGAAAAGAAAATGGTAGGGATACTCTTGTTAGGATGAATTAATAATGTTTTGTGTTTTCACTCTTTGTCTTTGCTGTCTCTGCACACTTCCAGACTGTGCTGGGCAGACACTGCCATGACTACCCAGCCTTCAGCTACGCTGCCCAGACTACGGTGGACTACCAACCATCCTTCAGGGTAGCTGGGAAAGATGGACTCACTGAAAGTTACCACCCGGATTCTCCATTGCCACCCGGGTGACCAAGATCAGGATATAATAATTAAGTTGTCCCTGGATGGCACAGGCTAGAAGACGAGATGAAGCTAACTTTTTTGGCAGCAGCCAGCAGAGTTGAGGGGATTCTGGCTTTTTCCAGTGTGTTTTAATATCTAGGTAGACAAAGTCTATCAGCAAAGACTGATCCAAGTCAAGTTATCTCCCAGACAAACCCACAGAAAGTGCAGCCAAATATTCATGGTACATTTGGGTGGGATCTGGTGCTGATTTTAAACTCTGCTTTTTAAACTTACCAGTGTATATCCGTGTTTTATAATCCCCCTAATTAAGAGACAGAATAGGCACAAGGAAGCGCAGTCACCATGCCCAGGCCAAGGGCAGGGCCTGATCCACCACCTGAGGACATTTATGACTTCTCCATGGACGCAGAGGAGGCTCAGTCTCTCCGCTTGCAAACGAAACCCTTAGAGCAGACGTCTCCTCTGAGCAAATATATTGAGACTGAACACCAGCAAGCGGGGCTCTTCTCTATCTTACCCATCGACGCCTCTGACCTCCAGAAAAAAAGAAGGAAGAAATGTGGTGCCTGCACCCCCTGCCTCCGTAAAGAGAACTGTGGTAACTGCGCAAACTGTCTGAACCGGAAGACGGGCAAGCAGATCTGCAGGCTGCGCAAGTGTGAACAGCTGAAGAGGAGACGGAATGAGTGGGAGGTAAGTGAGGTACAGATATGTTAATAGTCCATTAATATTACATTTGATGTTCATGGGAATACTGTATTAGTAGTATATTAGTATTAATAATTTATGTTCCAAGGTAGAGTTTGGGAGGCGCACAAAGTCAACAGGAAACTATTAGACATTTGGCACAAAAACGGTCCAAAACACTGGAAATGTTGTTAATGATAGGTCAAAATAAAACATATCAGTAATCAAAAAAACAAACAGTCATACCTCCCTGCAACCATTCTCGATGCCTGCTTATCTCTGTCTAATGGGAGCATCCATAGAGCAGAAAGAAGGGAAACGCTCAAGGGACTCACAAAGTTAACAACATTTCCCCCTGTCTGTCTCAAATGCTGGTGATGAGGTAGCTAATGTTGGAGGATTATTGAACTCACTGTGGTTTTCCTGAACTTCTCTAGAGATTTCCTGCCAATGTGAGGTTATTTACCATCTAAAACACACGCATTATTATTCTGTTGCACACTCACACTGGGGTTGTTGGGGGTTTTTTTTCCCAGTAGAAGCATGCAGCTTGTAGCCACAGTGTTTGTGGCATTGTAGTGCCATGCTCAAGGTACTTGAGAACAAAACTAGAAGCGAGCAGGGAGTGTATCTGTCCACCCACTTACTGCAATACTTTCATTACAGGACAGTTCTAGTTTGTGATGTCCATTCAGACAAATAGCTTTAAGCTTTGTCGCTGCTAATGCTACCATTGGCATTCCTTTTCTGTCAAGCCTAGACCTGTCCCTCCTCAGGCTGGGTTTAGAGGACTAATCAGTTGCACGTGCCATATATGTATATATAGTGCACTTACCCAATGAGGCACTTTGGAATTCAATTCCAAAACTTTCTACATGTACATCTGCAGTTGAATATTATAGTCTCCTCATGGCAACTCCACTTCTGTCTCAGCTTCTGCTTGTGAACATTAACTACTGTTTAACAGAGCCAGAACTGATGGAAGTGACTGTCCTGCCAACTCAAATATATTTATAGAGCACACTTCATATGGTGATGCAATGTTGTGTACTGTACAAACATGATTAAACAGTGGTTGGTTATAATAGTGCTACTAAAACAAATAGTATATTAGAAAATCAAATATATTAAAGCATGGTTAAAAGCACTCTCTCCACTGTTAAAAGCTACTTTGATTTAGAATAAAAAAATGGTAAAATATGGGAAAAAAGGTCAAAGCTTCCTCATTGTCACTGAACTGGCCATGGGGTTACACATGCTGAGGAACATCACAGGCTGAATCTTAACTATTGCAAAACACTCAAAGCAGGAAACCAACATGCTTTCAGTGTGGAAATGTTTGTGTTTGTTGATGGTATTTCCTGACACCAAACACTTGTGCACTATAAAACTAAATGGTGTTTCTTTTAGAGGTGAAACAATTTATTGGTTAATCAGTCACTTTTCAGAAAATGAATGAATCAATGAATTATTTTGAGCAAAAAAATATGGTCCCGTTTTATGCTGTTTTTGTTTTTCTACAAATATCCGACTAATTAAAGTGCATCGGCTAATGTTCTCCTCATCAAATAACAGTTTACTCAACTATTAGGAGACAGCTTTCAGTTTCCACTGCCTCATTTTATTGATTTCAAGGGGAATACGACTGAATCCGACCTGGTGGCATTCATTAACAATAACTATACAGAAACAGCCAGTCTCTTCACTGATGGTCTCGTGTGCTTAGGTAGGTCATATAGAGACATCAGTATTAAATGGAGACAGTTTCATAACCAGCTATAAACTCCTTGTAGTAGGTTTAACAATCAGAAAGGCACACCCACTTATATCCATAGATGTAGTAAATGCAGTTAATAAAGTTAATAGAAGTGAGTATTGTTGGGAGGATACAGATGGGTAACTTCTTAATCATCGCAGTTACAGAGGTTGTTTTGCAAGTGTTTCACATTCTACTTAAATATTCTCCTCTGTTTTAACATACTGTGAGTGGTCAGTGTGTGTGCATGGCTGAGAGGCTACCAGACAGCAGCACTGGAGAATTCCTGCAGTTGCCTGGGCTTTGTCCTTTGACCTCTGCGACCTCGAATGAGGGTGGGGGTTAACCTTAGCCATTTTATATTTGTGTGCGTGCGGGTGTGGGAAGAAAGAGAAAGAGTGAATGTTTTTAAAGTGTGCACTTGTGTGTTAATGGAAGAGCGCGTGTGTGTGTGGCTCTTTGTGTTTGTACGTGCATCAGCATCTTAACCGGGGGGGGGACTGGGCTTTAAAGTCAAGGAGGAGGGAAGGAAGATGCAGTAAATGGTCAGCAGTATTGGAGGAGGAGAAGCAGGAAAAACCAGACTAGGCTTCTAAAGCGTGACTGAGGAATGGACACTTCCCTCTCCTGCAAGGGTTAGCAGACAGTTACTAACATTCCCATAATAACCAACTTTCCCACCCAGCATGACGACTCATGCTTGCATGTCATGTCATTTGTAACCATTTTCAAAGCACAGCTATTTCCTTGCTAAAATATTCAGATTTTTTAGATGCTAGTTTAACATAAGAATTGTGATAATTGAATATTCTGCATACTTGTTTGGGAATCCTAACCCTAACCCTATGGGGCATCAATTGGAATTCAGGGCTTCTTATATCAAAGATCCAGTAAACACAAGGATCAGAATATAGATCGCCTGGGTGATATCCAAGTTTGTAATATTGTGTTTAATTAGCAAATTCTGGACTTGCTGTAAAATGATTTTTACTGTTGCTTTGACTCATGCTGCACCTACTATGGTGATCCCATTTACATCCAAATAAATAAATATACAAAACCTCCCCCACCACTCCATGTCCAAAGGTGTAGATCAGAGCTGTAGATGACCTAAGGACATGACATGTGGGTGTTGGTGTTAGTGAGTAGAGCTAATGTCAAGAGGAAAAGGTTTGTTCAGCAACAAACAGGAAATCAGGGTTTCCATCAGCATTGTTGAGGCCTGTCCTGTCTTGTCTGCTAAGAGGTTTGTCAAGTGGCAGGACATAGGAAAATAATAATAGTTCACAGGAACAGAATTCAGTATTAAATTGACAAAAACAAAAACGTCTTTGTTGTGTATGTGACAAAAATCTGGCATCATTTCACAAATTTGGTGACTTACAAAGAGAGACTTAAAGGACTTTAACATACCTCTTGAACTATTGAGTGAGATGGAAAAGCTTTTCACACTCAGACACACATAATAATCAGATAATAGCTATCCTAACAAGAATAATCATTAAACCTATTCATGGACACTTTTGCAAACAGTGGACATCACAGTTTAAAATTTTAGGATCATGTTTTTGTTGTGACAGCTGAGAGGGGAACAGACTTGTTTGAAGAGGTTTCCTAATAGTAACCATTGCCATTTCCACAAGCTCTCTTGTTGAGGGTTAATAGAAGTTTACATATTTCAAAGGCCCTGCCCTGACAGGGAACTCTACCCCTATTCACCAAACTATTCCTACCCATTTCATTCATTTATCTAAACTGTCTATCATGAATGTCTTAGGGAAGTGTTTCTAAAACTGTTTACACCTTGTGCCAACTGTGAAAATGTTAGGCTCTCCAAATACCACCATTACCACTGGCGTTAAAATACAGTAGCGTAGTACAGTAGGCAGGTTTATTCCTAATAAGATGATTATTTATTGTTGGCTGTTGTTAAATCCTGAACATAACCGGTTCAGAACCAGAGAACATTTGGTTGTCCTGTTTTCTTCCCAATGGTTCCTGTTTGGAGCCATGATTGCAGTGCATTTTGAACTATTCTTTTTCCACCTCAGCTTACTATCTTGCCATCACATTTTAGCTTGTGACTATCTTTGCTGTACGTATGTAGCAGGATGAAATTGAAACAAGATATTACAGGAAATGCCACACTTATTTTAAATTATATTTCAGCACTCTCATAGTTTAACACAATTTTGTGGTATTTTGATAGTACAATATGTTTTGAAATGAATTTATTTCATAAAAACATATTTCAGAGGTTCCTCTGCATACCACTAGAGGTAGCTTGCATACCACCAGTAGTACACATACCATAGTCTGATAATCAGGATTCTTGGAACACAAGAATATTCGTCACTGCTGTTTCAAGCTAGCCATGGCTTGTTCAGAATCAGATTTTGGGCAAACCTATTAAAACTTTTTAAATTTAGATTTAGCTAGTATAATAACTCACATAAACAAAGGCTTCTCTCACATGGTTGGATATGGCAATGGCAATGTCGGTCTTTCGGTTGGTCCACCACTTTGGTCCAGATTGAAATATCAACAACTATCAGATGAATTGTCCTGCAATGTTGTAAAGATTTTGATGGAGGATGTACTGACTCTGATGATCCCCTCACTTGTCCTCTAGCAGGTCAAAGTATTCACTCAACATCTGCTTGATGGATTGGCACAAAGGTTTGTGTAGACATTCATGGTCTCCAGATGATGAATCCTACTGATTTTGATGATCATCTAACTTTTCCTCTAGTGCCATAATCAGGTAAAAATGTCTATTTGTCCATCGATTTGGTTTATCTCCAAATACCTGCAAAATCAATGACATTCCCATCAGCCTCAGCTATACTTAGTGTTTGGTTTTGGATTGGTAAATGTCACAGAAAACCCTATTGGCCATCAAAGATCTTCACTGGTCCACTGTCTCTACCGACAGTGGTGACTGTAGTGAGTTGGAGCATTGCAGTAGGCGTAGCTTTTACAGCTCTTAACCAAGTGTCCATCCATCCATCAATCAATATCCCTCCTCCACAATCCCGCCATCCCTGGCCTTTGGCCTCAGTATGGATGTAGCAGCTGAGTTCCTTATTGCCTGGCAACCACATCCTCCATCTTCTTTTGTGATGACTGCTCTGCAGTTGACTGTTGTACAATGAGAATATGAACAATAGCTTTAACCTCTGGCTGTCCAGTATATACACTACTATCCAATTTCATACTCTATCATCTATTAAAGGTCCAGTGTGTAACACTTAGGAGCATCTACTGGCAGAAATGGAATATATGTTTTCATAAGGGTATAATCACCTGAATATAGGAATTGTATTAATTACCTTAGAATGAGCCGTTCATATCTACAGATATAACCGCAGGTTGCCTTCCATGGAGTACGCCATTTTGAACCGCCATGTAACCCAGAAGGGGAAAACCAAAGACTGGCTCTAGATAGGGATGTTTGAGTTTTTTTCTGCGTTTCGTGGCCACATTAGTTTCTCCTTTGTGTTGGAGAGTTTTCTACTGCAACTACACCACTAGATGTCACTAAATCCTACATACTGGTCCTAGGAATTTAAAGGTCGACTAAATTATACGAAATATAAGAATGAAATACTATAATAGAAATAATATATATTTAACCTTTTCTTACTCAATAATGTGCCTGGTGTGCCTTACAGTTTTCTTTACAGTTTCACCCCTTGAGACATGTGACTAATTGTTTGCATGTGAAACAGGGGAGTGGGTTCAACAGAAGGAGTATAAAGACTAGGATAGACTATCTCAATTAACACCATTAATTAGACTAATTAGTCGAATTGCAGGCAAACTACCCCGGTACACTCATCTTCCTCCATCCATCCTACTGCAACCAAATGCACATGTTAACAACACACTATCAGAACGACTGTAAGGCTGAGCCTTCCTCCCTTGTGTGTATATGTGTAGTGAGTGTGTTTGAAAATGAAGGTGAGCAGGAGGGCATGTTTTTGGTACAAGTTTGTGTGTCTGGGGAGAATCTGATCATTTATTACGTGAATGTGAGTAGACAACAACAGCAGACAGGATATTTGTGAATGAACTGAGGTTGAATGAAGGCATGTGTACATCAGCATTATGGTGCTCGGAGTGGTTAGAATTTGCGTCTGTGTGTGATTACGTAGCGGTTACCAGGTGACCATTGAGGTCTGAAAGAAGAGTAAAGGTTTGATTGATGAGAGATGTTCCTCCTGATTCTGCATTACGTTCTTTCACAAATATATTTCTATCATTTCAATCTGAGTAAGATAAAGACATAGCAGAGGATGTATTATATCTAACCACACCTTTTGCTATCTCTGTAGTGTTTACTTGTTATACTACTACCGCTGTTCCAACAATTAGTGTTAGATTCATTTCTTAAACTATTATTATTAATCCTACCACCACGTCTAACGTCATAACTACAGTTACTCATACTATTACCGCTGCATTTACTTAAACGCTTGTCCTGCGACTCCACTGCTGATTCGACTACTGCCGCAAGCACTACAACTACCCCGGCCACCTGTAACGGAGCAGGTTGAAGCCAAACAGCCGCTCTCTCACTGTCCAGCTTACCACAAACACGCCTGGGCTTACACATAAACACACACACGCTCACACACATTCAGACACACACGTGGCCCGGCCCGTCTGACGTAAGCAGGGGATTTCCCATGCCATATGAGAACATCAGAGAGACACAACAAACGCTGCGTCACTGTGTGGCTGTGCCTTGCCTCACAGAGCCACACTTCAACTCCCTCTCTCTTTTCGATTCTCCCACTGTTTCTGCGTCTCTGTCTGCCTGTCGCTGTCTGTCCTCGATCCGCTGTGTCTCTGCCAGCCTGCCTGAACTTTCGCTGACTGTCTTGTCTTCTGGCGGTTACTAATTCAGCAGCCCATTCTCTCATTCTCGCACACATCTTTGCCATTTTTCATATCTGAGCGGACCGCGTTGCCAGTGTTTGTTTTGTGTTAGATGTCCCATTTCACAAAAGCTGATCAGAGAGAGGGCTTCGTCAAGAAAGAGAAATGCATCTGGGCAGCGGTACCTGGTTGCTGATCTGGACAAAACCATTTACCCTTGGCTTTTGTGGTTATGTTCTGCCCTTTAGGCAAGAATGTACACTGATTTCTGGTTTAAAAAGGTACAAGCTGGAGATGATCTTTCACAGTATGTAAACACTATGAACGCAGGCTTCCAAAGTATGCTTGGTATGTCATTCTTGCGTATAAAGCAATCGCAAGTCCCCGGCAGCTTAGGTTTGGTTTACACGTGTATACTTTGCAGATCACTATTTTTATAGGTGAACATAATCACAGCTGATGATTTGTGATCTTGTGACAGTTTTGCTTATTGCACCTATAGCTGTAATGTGTTCTTCTCTTATGAAATGGCAGTCTCAGTGGCACTGTGCTCATTTTCTGTGTCTTCACTTGCTTTGAGTCAGCATGTTGGGCTTTGCTGTGTAATTGTACATTTTGCCTGTCGGGGTGGGGGGTTGTGAGGCTGCTTGAGAGGGGTCTGTGTGTGAATGAGTGTGTGTGTGTGTGTGTGTGTGTGTGTACACGCACTGCGCAGTCCAGTCCAGTTATTGCAGGCAGCCCTGACACAGATGGTGCTTAGCGATACCACATACCAGAGGCATTGTTTAGGGAAGGCGAATTCGAGGGAGATAATTGACAGGCATAGAGAGGACCCATCCCCCCTCCAAACACACACGCACCTCCCGTCCACCTTCACTCTCTTTATGTCAGCCTCTCTTTTATGGTGCTTCACCCCCCAACACACACACACACACACACACACAGACCCTTTTCCTTTTTTATTTGAACCTCCTCTTTTTACTAGCTCCAATCCCCCCCCCCTCGCCACCCTCACTCGCTCTCCTTCAGTTTCACCCTAGCAGCAGAGCCCAGCCGGCCTCTGATTGGTGGACGGACTGCCTTTGTGTGCTATCTCTAGCGTGACGTCTCTCCGACGAGCTCTTTGTGTGTGTGTGTGTGTGTGTGTGTGTGTTTGTGTGTGTGTACATTTTTTCATGAGTGTATATGTTTAAAGAGAGAGAGAGAGGGGGAGGGTGGTTGAGGGGGCATTCACATCATTTACGCAGAAAGGAGAAGAGAAAAAAACCAGGGTGAGAAAGGAGTGATAGCGATCACAGAGTGTGTGTCTGTGTATGAGCGCGTGTGTGCGGTAGACCTATTGGCATACTAGCAGGAGAGAGAGAGAGAGAGAGAGAGAGAGGGAGGGAGGGAGGGAGGGAGGGGGGGTTGAGCGAGAGAGAGAGAGAGAGAGAGAGAGAGAGAGAACGTGCATACGAGGACTCATGTAAACCAGATTAAAAACACAAGATGGCTTCCTGAATGGGCTGCTGGAACACAGACGAGAGAGAGAGAGACCGAGAAAGAAGAGTGGAGAGGTAGAGAAAGAGAGAGAGAGAGAGAGAAGAAAGGGAGAGAGAGGGATAGAGGTGAGGACAAGAGGGAGCCCGATCCTTCTGATGGGGATTCGGCCAGCGGACGGAGGAGTACAAACCAAGGCAGCTCAGAGGCTTGGAGGGTAAATATTCATCACTCCAGACTATTTTAGGATTGATAGGTGGGTGGGGAGGGGAGGGGGGGTGGGGGGGATGAGGTTGGCGGGACTGGGGAACAGCTCGAGACAAAACACATAATTTAACACTGAGACAGCCAGGGCCATATAGACAAGGGGGACATGCTGTGCCAAATAAGAAAATTCTATTGTTTTAAATAATCAGCCCTGCTTTGATAACCCTTTTCCATGTATTCCACCTCTCAGCTAACCTCTCCACTAACACTAGAGCACATTTTGCCAATTTACCCTTTAAAAAACTGTGTTATACAGACTAATGCATATATTAGCGAGGCTGCGCCAGGTCGGGATACAGACATTACATAATTCTATAATTGAAATTGAACCTCGCTTTGCTAAACCTCATTCTCTGTCCCAGCAGTAGAGGGAAGTGCCGGCTCACTGTTCAAAGGAAAGAAATTTGTGTACACGGCTGCTTTTTGATCATTTCTGAGGATGACAAGAATGATAAGGAGACAGTCTGTGAAAATGCATGCGTGTTGTACCTGGTAGTCCTACTGTCCTTAATGACAAGTCTCTCTGAGCAGGCCCTTGTCGCATTATTCTATTGATTGTTATTCTCTCCCCCTCCCATCTCTCTCTGTCTCCTTCTCACTCCCCCCTCTCTTGTTCTGTTGAATGGCTCTGAAGGTGGAATATTTTGAAGACAACAGTCGAGGCTGCTTGGGAGACCCCGAACTGGCAGCTGAGGTAAAAGAGGGCATTTGGTTTGTGTTTCTGCTCTGTGTGTATATGTGTCATCATCTGTGCGTAATCTCTGTCCATGTTGCTTTGATCCTCAGCTGTTGGTTCATCAGTGCAGTGAGACTCTTATGAGGTGGTTAGTGAACATAGCGACCAGTTCCTCTACTCTTTCTATGTGTGTGTTCACACGTGTATTTTTACAATTGTGACTACGCTCAGTTCAAATTATTTTGCATATGTGTATGTATTTGTGTGAATGGGTATAACCATCGCTGCCTATTAGAAAAAGCTATGATTGTCGACGCTGTGTCGCTGGGATGTCATTTGACTATATGCTGCTCTCTCCGGCGAACACATGAGCTCATTATATTAGCCCTGATATCATCGCGGGGTGGAATAAAGGTGCATTAGAAGACACCTTTAGGCAGTTGTCCTCCCCAAGTTGCCCTGTTCGGAAGCTGACTGTATTAAATCATGTACTTCGGCTTCATCTCCAAGCCGCGGTGAGTTGAGCGCCTCAGTGATGAACTGGCGGCGGCCTCAGTTTAAAGCGTCCCACGCTGCCCGCTGATTGGTGCCAGAGCCAGGCATGTGTAGATACAAGAGACCAGGGAGAGGAGGAGGGAGGAGGAGGAACCCTACGCACTGGCTCGGGAGCCAGGGGGCCGTCCTTCTTCTCCTTGGTTCTGGAGTCAAATGAGGTAAAGGGAGTAAAAGTTAGTGGGTCACGCATGCGTATGTGTTTGATTGTCGGGCGTAGTAACCTGTGGCCGCTCAGAGCTGCTGTTCTACAGCTTGCCGAGTCGGGGCACGCTTGTGTGTTTATGTGGAAATGAAGTTTAAGCGGCGAGGCTTCATAGAGAAAGGATTGACTGAGCACCAAACAAGCTGTTGTCTCGGTTATAAGAATCTTGTGATGTCCTCTTCAAGTAGAAGAAAGAAAGCTTTGATTTGCCATCAGATGTAGTGAAACATTTCATTGTTGTAAACCTAGACGTGTAGAAGTGACAAAATATGACTCGAGGACGTTTATGCTGGCAGATACATTCAGCTGCATCCCTACAATGATATGAAATAAAGGTTAGTCGGTCTGTTTCAAATGTCATGAATGGGTTTAACTCAGTTACAACCGACATACCCTAGCTTACCTCTAAGCCTGCTCTAATCCCTGTCCATGTGTAGACAGTCTCTTTATCAACAAGGTATATACAACCATCTGGTTTGCAGGGGGGGAAATCATTGAACTGTCTGTTCTTGAGAAGAGCTGTAGATTGTGTTTAACAAGTTTGTGTTATCTGCCTTTGTGGCTTTCCTGAGCTCCTATTTGTAGAGTACATGGTTACTGTGTGTGTCCTTGAAACAGATCTTCACGACATTGTTTATGTCATGAAGATCTGTTTCCTCATCAAATATCTCCCTGGTTACACAAAAACAAACACGCTGTACACCCAACAAGCTGAGGGCACTATATTTGACTATTAAATAAGTAATTAACGTTGTTATTAGGGACCCACATAACAACTACAGGATGTTGGACATAAAAACACTGTGTGACAGCATAGTGTTTTTTTTTGATAGTTTTCTTTGCTGTTCAGGAAGTAGAACTGAATCAAGAGTTTACCACAGCAAGACAGCCAGACTGCACTTGCGTGATTTCTTTTTCCACGCCCATACACAGGATTTCCTCTATACGTGAGATGAACTACACACAGTACACTGGTGGGAAAGAGTCAGAAGCAGACTAGAAGCACTCAAACCACTGAGTGCGTGACGACAGATGGAACGTTTGTTAATCATATGTTTAGCCTTGCGTGGAATCCCAAGCCTTGTTCGCAAAGGGTTAACACTGACCTAGTTTCCGTGGCAACACTGAATGTCTGATGACATCATTGCTTTAATTTTAGCTCAAGTCCGGCATCCAAGGTTGGTCACATGACCAACTAGCCGGCACCACAAATGTGTGTGTGTGTGTATTTTTGTAGTAAGTGGTTTGGTGTATAGTACAGACTCAGGAAGTGGAGAATTTGACATCATCTCTTCCATTCACCCTTGGCTTTCGATGTATTTATTGCTCAGTAATATTTCCACTCAGTCAGTAAAGAACTGCAGCTCTGTTACCCCTGTGCCTTGTGATGCAACTGGTGATCTAATAGTTCGTTAAAATGTGAGTAAAATGTGACGAACAGTTGGCTATTGTACCAGTAGTTATAAATATTAGTTTTGGTTCTCAAGATGAGGTTCTTGCTAAGCACAGATCCCCCTATTTGATCTTGAAGTCATGTTGTCTTTTGATGATAAATGAATAACATATATTAATCTGAATGGGATCTTGAGATCTCTAACTGAACTGTACACAGGGTTAACATAATAAAACAACAGCTGTGCAATATAATGTAACGTGAAGTTTTTTAAAAGCATTATACTTTGGATGGTAAACGTCTTGGTGTTGTCAGGGTGATTTGTGAACAATCTTGACTACAAAACTGCCACAACAATATAAACAAAGAATAATGTCCTGAAAAGCATTAATGTGTTCTGTGTCCTTAACTTGGTATTTCTGCTGTATCTTTATAGAGCTGTTCTTTAGCCTGATAGTGCTGATTATATTAATTAAGCTCAGGGTTGGTCAACCATGGTCTGCAGTTTAAAAGGTGACTGACTACATTCACCCATTTAACCTCGACTACAACCATGCATGCAAACCCAGGAAGACTCGGCTGCTACACTGAACAACTCCCATATCTGCAGTGAATCGCTTCCTTTAATGTTTGTAATAGAACAATTTTATCAAAGACACCTCAGGGACTTGAAAACATCACACCTTTTTTATGTAGTCACCAACAGTTGCCTCACTTGCATGCAGTCATTAATATATAGGGACTTGATAAGCTCTGCGCTGTTGTCATGTTTCATCTCTAATTAATGACACTTAGCCGATGTTTGTCTTTGCACTGTCTGTCCTGCTACCCTGCTTATAGTCCTGCATCTACCAGTGAACGTGGCTGGACTCAGCCCTCACTGAGTCCTGAGCTGGATCGATATATCCTGCATGGCACGAGGAACTTTGGTTGGTGGCTCGTTGGCATCGTTGGTGGTATCTGTGTTTGATGTCGGAGGGAGGTTGTCAGCCGCCTGGTGCCGCAGTTAATAAAAAATGAATGGAGAGAGAAGGGGGAGGAGCCCAGCCCTCAGCTGTTGCTCGAGCTCTTTAACTCTCACCTCTCTGGTGGCTGCTCTGCTGCTCCCACTGGGCAACGCAATCCGGAATCCCACTGCTGCCCGATATTGCCAGGTTTTATGTAACACAGCGCCACAGCTGTTGGAGTTTTCATCACACGCTATTGAAACACACGCATGAAAATATTGATTTCTGAAACAACAGAAGTGTAATAATGGGAATTCAGTGGAGGCTGGGGTCTCTGGGGGAAGATTTGACTGATTATAATGTAAAACATAAAAACTAGTAGTAGCTCAGAAATGCATGGCATGTACTAAATTCTCCAAAAAAAACATAAAGGACAAAACATAATCCAGCCATTATCTTGTAGGAACCTGCCTTTCGTTTGAATGATTAAAATTGCATTTTGACCTCGATTGTAAATCTGGATGATTTAGTGGCTATGGCTTCACAGTGCACTGGCCCTTTAAGCCCGGCTACGCCTGACTTGAACATATGGGAAGCTAATCTTAGCCCGAGTCCTGAGAGAGACAAGGCTGGCAAGCTGCCCACTGTGCAGAGCTGAGAAAGGTTTCTCTTGCTTTCTCTCTGTTTTTCTCTCTCAATTCCTGAACCGTTTCTGATTTAACCCCTTAATACTGTTGCCAAAAACTCATCAGAAAATCATTCAGGCTGTGATGTGTTTCACCTGGAAAAAATGCTCTAGTATTCTGTTAATGTTTACATCATTGACCAATGAGATATCTGACTGCTCAGCTCTTTTTCATGACTTGGCACACACTAGCCTGGCAGGACGTAGTACACAGTGTACTTGTTTTTCAACCATTTTTAACTCACTTGTTTTCCATCCATTTCCCTTCTGTCTGTTGTCCACTCCATTTGTCTCAGACCTAGAGTTTTCTAACATATTCTATATTGATTACATTGCTCTCCTTCTTTTCATGTCCCAAACCTCAAGCACAAAGAGCTGCCTCTTAAAAACACTCCTCCTCCTCATTATTTTTTAGCGGCTCCACCCTGCCCATCAGCCCCCCCACACATCACCACCTTTCCATTTTTTTCTCTCCTCCCTCCCAAACCACTCCTCCCTTTCTCTTTGTGAGGAGTAGTGGCAGTGGAGGGGGTAGGCCTTCCCCAGCTGGGCTATTCGTGCCGACTTGCACGTGCCAAAAGTCAGGAGGTATGACTCAGACTGAATACCCTACACTCAGTACTACGATCTACACCCAAACACTCCCTGAACCTAACACCATCCTGCCCGGGAGCATGTCGGGGGTGGGGGCTGATGGTGATGAAAGAGGGAAAACCAGAAAAAAAGACATATGCAAGGATAAAATAGCAAGGTGATGCCTTAAATATGAACAATGAGTTAACAGTCTGTTATTCATTATAGACAGACAGATAGTTTAATAAAAATAATATCCTAATAATAAGAGCTTCCATTAAGATTAGTCTTATTTGTTTAACCAGGCGGGAACACTTTTCAGTTGCTTCTCCTCTGTTAAACATGTGCTCAGTTCAGCTCTGCAGCCTCTTGTCCTGCCCACCAATAAACCCAGTGACCCTCAGAGAACAATCCAATACTGTATGCATACTAGCATGCGTGTGTGCGGGGGGAAAAATCATTAAAGTGTGCCTCTGCATTTGTTGCCCGTGTGTGCCTTTTGTAGGAACCTTTAGTGTCTTTGCCTCTATGTGCATGGGATGAGAAACAGGCGTGCATGTTGGAAGGAGGGGACAGGAAGAGAGAAAGAAAGTGAAAGATAAAGAGACAGAGAGCAAAAAGAGAGGGAGAGGGGGAAGGAGAGAGAGTCACAGAGTGTGTCAG